TTTGTATTTACAGTGATAGAGAGAGGAGAATTAAGTAGAAAGTAGTTTGGTTGTTACATCTAAACAATTGCACATTGTCACATTTTGTTTTATCAGATCTATCAGTATTTAGCATTGTGTTCCCTTGCTTACACTAAATGCTTCATTGAAAACACAAAAGTGTTTTTATTATAAAGTTCTACTGTGTTTTACTTTATTTACTGAACCTGTGATGATCACATTGCTGTTTCTTACATGACTGCTTGTGTTAGCACCTTCTTCCAAAACCTCGGGTGGCACTGGTTCATGTGCCATTAGTTTTCCGTGCTCATTTTCTTTCTGATTTATGTCCCTTTTAGAGTAACTGTATTTTTCGCCCTTCTCCATTTCATCCAACTGGTTCCTCCTTGTCTCTGTGTAAAATAAGAACAGTAGATTTGGTTTTAACAACCAGTTACCCTGATGATAACAAATAAAACTAGATTATCTGTTTTTATTTAGATTCACTTCATTACACATTTAGAAAATCCCTATTAAAAACATGAGAATAATTTCCCATGTACATGAGGTTATTAATTTGTGACTTACTGGTTATTTGTTGTCTCCATTTAAACATAAACAAGCCACTTGCTAAAGTTAAAATGGTGCAAACAGTCAAACAAACAATGATGGGTACAGCAGGACTGCACACGAGCGGGAAGAAATCATCTGCAATGAGAACATATACATGAATGGCATGACATTTGATCAAACTAGACTCACTTAAAACCAAAATTAACATCATGACACGTATTTACAAATTGTGTTTACCTGGAATGTATATCTGTGTCTCTCTGCTCTGGTTGGTGTTCCTCTGTTGGACTCTGCAGGTGATGTTGTTGCTGTGTCTCTTCTCCACAGTCACTCTGCTGCTGACAGTATAGAGGTCATCAGGACCTCTGAGGGTCTCTGTAGGTCCAGCAGAGAGGAGGTTTCCCTCACCGTCCAACCACAGCAGCTCAGGCTCTGGATACCAGCCTGCAGACTCACACTGTAACACCACTCCGCTTCTGGCTTTATTAATGGCTGATAAACTGATGACAGGCCCAGAAATGGCATCTGATACTGAGCAGAAGATAAAGAATAAAACTGAAGTATAAAAATAAACCTGCAGCATGTACTCAGACCTTTCCTACTCTCAGATCCATAAGTATTTGGACAGCAACAGTTTTTGTAAATTTGCCTCTTTAAAGTACAATAGTAGATTTTAAATCAAATGATCACAATGTTACTAAAGTGCAGCCTTTTACTTTTAATTAAAGGGTTAAGGGGGTTTTGTCCCACAGTCAATTAGTTTGGAACATCTGATTGAATTTAAGCAGAGTATAATTTTATACATTTAAGAAACCATTCTGCTACTTCTGTCAGCACTTACATCATCAGTTAACACGAGTGATGGAGACTTAATTTCACCAGCTAACGAATGCAAGTTCTAACATTTAAAAAAAGTAATTCCTTTCAATGTGACAGGGAATAACAGGTAGCAGGCCTCACCTAGCTGTGAAACTGGGGACTATAATTCTCAAACAGTCAATGCAACACTCTTGTTATTCCCTTTGAATTAATATTGGAATTGTGCTCTTGAATCATATCTTGGAACTTTCTTTTTAATTCCTTTGTCCAGATACATAATAATCTAATGATATTTACTTACCAACAAGTAGCTGAATGAATGAGTTCTTTTCCAGTGCTGGAATAAAACATTTATACGTTCCCTGGTCAGATATTTTCACATTAGAGAGTTTCAGTGAAATGTTTCCATGTTTCAGCTCATCAGGAAACAGTGATGTTCTTCCCACAAATGATTCATGCTTTTTATCTACAAGCTCCTGACCGGAGCGCCACACATAAACAAATCTGGGGTTCAGATCAGGTCGTGTCCACTCCAACGTAAAGTCAGTTTCATATACAGTAGGGTCAACATGGCATGGTAAGAAGATGTCAGCACCAAGTGTTGCCAATTTTAAGATTTGAGGTTGACCTGGAAATCCAAAGTCTCTGTGTTATTTAAAAAATATATATCTATATTCTTTTCTTTTTAGGTCTGCAGCACTTCATGCTTCAATAAGACAGTATATAATTAACAGTTTATTTTCTTTGTAACTCGTAATTTTTCAAGTGTTTGTTATCACAGCTGTATTTACCTCTGCAGATGTGTATTAAGAAAAACTGAAAAACCAATACAGTGAGAATTCGGGGCTGAGATGTAATGCGAAGACGGTCCATTTCGAAGAGAACGGAAGACGACTGAAAGTAAAAAGACAATTAAAAAAACAAAGAGAGAACGAGACAAGAGAGGTTTCAGCTTGACTGACACAAAATTAACTAGAAAAACAAAGCACTCATCTGCAGACAAAGTTCAAAAGTTTCATAACCTAAGCAACTTGAAGGTGAACAAAGCTTTTTCAATTGGTCATTTTACTGTCAGGGTGATGTCACTGCTATAAATGCTAATGTGTCATGGCTTTAAGCTTTCGCTTCTGTTCCAGTTTTTCTTACTGTGTTGCTGTCAATTATACATAAATAACAGCTGATAATCACCAGTATGCTTTTAAATTAAGACACCACAGAACAGTCTCAAAGTGATGTTTTCTGTGAAGTTAAGTTCCAAAATAAATTTTAGATAACACTAAAAAAAACAAATACATACCTGAATGCCGCCGTCCATTATCTCATCACACTGTGTAAATCATTGATAGGTATCTACGGAGCCTGGCAGTGTTCTTAAAGAGGACAAACTGCGATTCCTGGCCAGGTTTTAGCTGCACTGACTAACCTCTTGAGTTGTTGTTAAAAATAAGACGGTTTTGCACAAAGTACAAGAAGAAAAGAAGAAAATAATGATGAGAGCTCTGAATGCAGACCCACTTTAAAAACAATGCATGAAATATTATGAAACCTATATTAATGTCACAGGGTGACGTATGTGTTGCATGTAGCCCATCCTTTAAAATAAACAGACTATCTGTAAATAATTAACAGGCTCACAATATTCAATTGCTCTGTTTATCAGCAGAGTTTCATGCACTGAATTTAGTTTTTTTATTGTAATTAATGTGTCACAATTTTCCTAATGAAAACATTCAAATAGCACAGAATTCACATAGAATCATGTTGTTTTCTCATTGAAAACAGAGTCAAATTTAAGTGAAGAAGTGAACTTTGACAGTGTTGCCAGGTAACAGACTGGTGTCATAAAATAATTCATCTGCAAACCTCAAGTGACGCAATGACCTTGTGCAAACTATCATGAGGAGCACTGCTTGGCAAAATGTTATTTGACTTTTAACAGTTTGCAGGAACCACAATGTGAGATTATACAGCACTTGTATTTTACTTCTATTTTCAGTGGTTTCCATTCCAGGTGATTTCACCTGGAATCATTTGACATCCAAAGTATATAGATGATATATGATTCACTAATAATAAATGATGATAATGTAATATATTACATATTAAGGTCATGCGATCACAGCTGAGGACAGTTCACTCTCCTCCAAGTTTGTTGAAGCAATTCGTAACATACCAAAAACTGTAACTGCTTCTACTGTCACACTCCTACTATTACTACTGCTGAGCTCAATATATACACAGTGTAACATTCACAATTTGATTTACAAGCAAACTGGTAGTTTACAAAAAAACAAAACAAAAAAAAAAACATTTTAGTCCACTTTGCTCATGAAGAGATTTTCAGCTCAGAGTCCTCACTGTGTCCGAGCTGCTGCTACAGCTGAAAAAGCCACGATGGACTCTGCTGCCTGTTGCTGATGAAGTGGTAGAGAACAATTGTGTGGCTATGCTAAATTGGGAATGCAGGAGCTGGGTGGCAAGAGCTTCTTATTGACATTAATATACCAGCTTCCCTCACAGCTATGAAACAGTTTTCTACACTGATGCTGATAAACTGTAAAAGAAAAGGCTGTCGTGTTTGCTGAAACATTTTTTTTCCTATTTTGCTAAATTGACCTATCGTTTTGACCATGTCTCAGCTACGTGAGGGGTTGACCCAATTTAGCAGGACTGTTTCACTAAAGGCTTCACTACTTGCACAAAAGGTTTCCCAGCCATGCCTTTTCTGTGCAACACACAAATCTAGGAGAGGCACGCTATCACCCCAAGCAGCACATCCACATCTGATAAATCATTTGAATATGTCATAATTGGATATTTTATTGTTTCTGTGTAAATTCAGTTAATTTTGAGTCAATTTTAAAATGTTTATTTTTAATAATAATATACCACAGGTAAGATTTCAGAAACTCAGTACAGGTATTACAATAAAATAAAAGAAATAGCAGCAGTTCACTGAAAGTCCTCTAGATATCCAAATTCTCCTTAAATATGCGCATAAATAATTTAATGAATAATCCTTTCTTGTTTGAACATGAGCTAATGTTTGGTTTCCCTTTGTCTTCTTTACATTTATAAACATAATAGATTAAAAATACATCATATACACATGTACAACACAGTTCTGTGATAGGTTGGTAGTATGCCTGTGCTGTGAGGTCCATGCCTCCACATGCAGGTAGGTTCATATAATATATTAAAACTTATATGTTTAGTGTAGGGTAGAATTGTATATAAACTGGTAAAATATAAACAAAATGCTTATAAGGTTATTTCATGTTTAGTGTGCATATTATTTATTAATGCCATTTGCACTTCTCTCAAACACAATGTCAGTCTTTTGTTTGCTATTTTTATCCAACTTAATTTGTACTTTTCTTAGTTTCACGGGTGCCGGGGCGAGCAGCAGAGCGAGGAAACAAAACACCATGGAACACAGACGAGCCGACAACAAACGCAGACAGACACCCACTATATATACACACACAAGGAGACCAGGAAATGACATACAGGTGGGAGACACAGCTGATTCTAATATACATAATGACTGGAGGATACAAGCTGAACAGAATGACCACAGACACAGACCTTCAGAGTAAAAGAGGAAATCCAAAACACGAACTCAGGGACATAAACCGGGCACAAGAGGAGGACACAGGGTACCAAAATCAGAATAAACTAGAACAGAGGAAAATAATCATATAAAACCCAAAACGCTGGGTCAACGACCCAGCACCATGACAGTTTTTTATGTCTCTTATAAATATATAAATTCCTGCACTCTCTCATATGTGTAGTTTTAGTTCATTAAAAGTACCTCAGTGCCTTGTATAAGTAATAAAATAGAAGAAAACAAATAAAATGTAGAGAACATGTTGCTTGTGGTCAGTGTGTCCACAGTGTGTGATGTCGTATAAGATGCATTGCTTACTCCAGTAGGGCATGAGCATCACATTGTTGGTAGCCACATGCTTTCCTCATTATTAAGGTCTTTTCTGTTTCATATCATCAGTAATTCTATCAACACTGTAACTAATATGAAAGTCAAGCAAAAAAAAACAAGTTGACTTTCTCTACAGAAATGTTATTCTGGATTGATCTGATATTGTATAGAATAAAAACTGATATAGTCTTTGCATAGAATAGTTTTATTGTATTCTGTAACAGTGGTAGGTGGATAACTTGTTCCTGCATAAAATTCTATACTTGTGTGTTATTTGTCAAATACCCTGCAGACTGTGGCTTTACTCTTTATTTTTTATTTTTATTATGCATGTGGTAAAATTTCTATCACAATTTCATTAATTTTTGCAAAGATCTTGGATAATTTGTTGCCCCGTTTAATTGCATTACATTGAATATACACAACTGCCCAGTCAGCAGAAGAACCTTTCACTATAGACATAAGCATAGGAAGCGGAGGAGGTTTCTAAAATACAATTATTACTTGGACATGATTGTGCTCCAACACTACTTGGCCTGTTTTTACTCTTGGCCATGCGATTAAATGTTACAGGTGCATGAATGTTAAACTAGGTCATTTTAGCCTGTAGGTAGGTGGTTGCTAGGTAAGATTCAAGAAGTTTATTGTCACATACACAGTAAAACACAAATGGTTATGCAGAGCAATGAAATTCTTACTTTGGAAGTTCCCTTCACACAACTACATAAACAACTAACTAAAATAAATAATAAACTTAACGCTTAGCATTGAAAATAATAAATAAGGTAAAACAAGCACTTATGTAGCACTTCTATCTTATGTAGCTTATGCGTGGGTGTAGTCAGACTTTCACATTATAACATTAAAAGTTTCAGGGGTCTAAGATGTACTTGTGTTCTGAGTTTGGTTGCGCAACTCCATTCAGGATGTAGAAGTAAAATTACCATTCAGAAAGTTTACAGTGGTGACTGATAGGTTTGTAGCTCAACCCTATTCGCTGGAACGTTGAAGACAATTTAGTTACACAGCAAAGCAAGACACGAGTAGGCAAAGTTCTTTATGTTTCTCGTGCACGGGAGAGAACTGGACAAACGCCGTTCCTTCACTTCCCTAAACCTGCTGATTTGGAAGTCCAGCAGTTCATCTAAAAAAAAGGCATTATGTCTGTGAAGGTTCTCAGTCATCCAGGTCATCGTAGACTAAGGAGCTTCGAAAGAAAAGCGTTTGGACTTCTTTGAGTTGCTTGAAGACGTTTCACCTCTCATCCGAGAAGCTTCTTCAGTTCTAAGGGTCACCCTGATAGGGTGGGGCCAGGTTTCACAATGAGCTCACCCGAAACCCTGGCTGATTAGGACCCACACCCGCTTTCACACCTTGGCTCATGTGATTAGGTAGAGGATCATCAG